AACAAAAGACGCCTCGTATCCACTTGAGAGGGATGGAGATTTAAACCAAAGAAAAAAATAGGGACAGAAACAAAAGGGGCCAATGGGCATAATCCCCTAAATAAGTTAAATGGAATGAAGAAACTAAAGACACAGAAACAACCCTAAACCTAAATTGATGAGATTTCGACGCCAGATTCGTACTGCACTTAATTTTAAACAGTCTACGTACCATAACGAAGAGCTCATCCAAACAATTACCCTGAATGTACATATAGAAAAAGCACAGTAGAGGTGTCTGATAATAAAGTTTCTGGTCTCTTGCTATGGTAACGGAGATAAATTACCAAGAGTGAAGCCGCTTGGTACAATTTAACGTTGAGTTCTGTTGCGTATACACGCATCTCGCTCATTTGTTGTTGTTTATACCAGTGCTTGGAGGGAATGTGTGTAGAGTGCAGCTGGGTGACGATATTACAAGGGTTCAATCAGTGGTTTTTATGCCAAAGAAAAGATTTCCCGAGTCCAACAAAGGCTGTATTGCCCAGATCATGCCCCTCGCGGCTATTTCCACTTCAAAAATCAAAGCTCACTTGAAAGGAATAAGATTTCAAGATGTCAGGGTAATACACGAAAATGTGACGAGACAGCTAATCGCTGTTACAAAAAAGGAGTTTCAGGAATGGTTTCATCAATGGAATCAATGCAAGATAAAGTGTCTGGTTTCCGAAGGGGAATATTTCGAAGGTGATTAAATGTCGAATAGATATATATTGTAAATTTCTTTTCATATCACCAGTCCCAATACGTTTTATTAGTCCTTACACACACACACACACACACGCACACACATAACCAAATATTTTGATTTGGGTAAAAAAGGAGTCATCAGTCAATACAAATAAACAAAATGAGAAATTCCGACATTCACGAACACAATTTTATCAAATCTCAAGATAAAATTTTGACAGTGGTATAGTTCTACATGCTAAAACACAATTTGAATGGATAATAAAATTCACTCTTTCAGAAAAGCTATCATGTTTTACTTACTTCGAATGGACATTCTTTTTTTCAATGAAAAAAAAAGTACTCTCAATTTCATATTCTTTTTTTTTCTGTTTTTCTTTCTTTTTTCCAAGAATGCTTTCGTGTAGGTTTACTAGTATGGAAGGTAAGTTCCTTTTTCTTGGTTTTCAAATGGAAAATTGAAGTACACAATATTCCGTATAATTTTTTTATTATTATTTCTTCTCAGAACTTTCAAGAAAGTTCAAAAAGTACATCATTTCTCAGCGGAAAAATCCGTATTTTTGTATGTATAATTTTGTTTAATGAAGTTTAAATTTTTCAATAAACTTACAAATAAAATAGTTAAAACTGCTATAAGTAAATAGAGGATAAATTTCAGTTTACCATGAATTGATTTTCTTAGAGCATTTTATATTAAAATAAAACAAAAAAAAAACCCAAACAAATAAACATTACAATAAATTACAAAATTCATATATGCTTTTAATGGAAAATAAGCATTTTGATAAGACTACAAAGAAAAAATATTTATCGGGAATTTAATTTGCTTTAAATGTATAAGCAAAGAGATGGTTAATTTTCACTCCACTTTTTTAAAAATAAATTGTTAGAATAGACACTGTTTCATATTTTTTACCCACAAAGCATATTATTAACTTATAATATTCTAAAACATAAATAATCTTTCCTCTGAAAAAATTAAATTTAAATTCTTCTGGCTTTAATATTTTTCAATAAATATAAACTTTTCTCTGTTCAAAGAAGGATATATTTAGAAAAAAATCATTCCAGACGTTGACAAAGAAAATAAAACAAATAAGGTTGTTTGAATTTGACCAAAGGAAACACTACTAAGTTATGTTAGCAACCACTGTTGGTATAAACAAACGGTCTAGCAACTGTGATCGCTAAAACAAATGTTTTATATAGAAAGTAATGGAATCATTTAATTTCAAAACATTTTACTTATGTATTTCTTATCAAATGATTTTCTTTATTTCTTTTTATTAATATTTTCTTTAAAATCCTATTTTCTAATGTTTTTTATTAAATAAATTTTTAAAATACAGTTGAATCCCTCATATCTGGAATCCCTCATATCCGGACATGATTTTGATGTGTATATTTGAACTATTTGGGTGATATGTAACTGATTTGAAGTTTCTGTTTTTCAGGAAATTTACTTTGGATAATTGCTTATGCTTATTTCACCCTAATGGCTTCTATTGGTGCAAAAGATGATGGGAATAAGAGAAAAGGATGACAACGAGACACATCTGCCATAAGATAGCAACGAGATGCATGATTGCGATGAAAACTGGAATTAAATTAGAAAAGTTATTGAAAACGTTGTCAGTTTTATGGAAATAAAGCCAGCATTCATCTATGACGATGGCAACGACGCACGCAGAGTTAAAAAGTGTCTTTCGTTTTAAAATTTTTGCAAAAACAAAAGCAAAACAAAATGCGGAAAAAGTTGAGAATGCCATTAGAAGAGAAAGAATCATCATGCAACAGCGATTAAAAAATCCTCGTTGCATTATTTGTTTTGCATACGTGGCATACTTAATTTAATGAATTTTCATTAACATTACATAATTTATTTCTTTTTCCTTAAAATCACTTTCGTTATATTTCACTTACCATTAGCTGATTTTGTTTACCATAAAACACTGAAAATAAATGTTAAACCTGATTTCGGTTCTTTTATTTTAATCAAAACACAACCCCTTATATCCGGCATTTGTAACAAATTCCTCATATCTGGAAGGCCTTCTTAGTCCTGTTGTCAGGGATTCTACTGTATAGAAAATGTATCTTGAGATTCATGACAAAATCAAAAGAAGACTCATCAGAGTTATCGGCCCTGACCTGGCATCTCAACTTCAGTCAATTTCTAACTGCTGTGACCAGGTTCCCTGTGTTTTTTTTCTATAAATATTTTCATGGCAATTTTTCCCATCAGCTTTCTTCCTTGATACCTTGACTGCATAGATTTAGGCGTAGTACGAGCTTGACAAATAATTCCCACTGTTTTACTGTCGAAATAGCTAGATGAAACCGAAAGTTCTATTCTAATAGGTTCTTCTTTTCTCGCACTTCTCGCTCGCGGAAAACTCTTCCGGATTTTTACTTTTCTGACACCGACATCCTTTCCAAAGTTTTATTGAAACGTCAATCTCTATTTTCTATTTTCTTGAATCCAGTCTCTTTGTTTTCTTTTTTCCTCTTAAACGTTTCTTCAGCTTCTTTCAGTTTCAGTAACACCCTTGCGTCTCAGTGTTACGATCACCTTGCTTGGGGTGAAATGATATTACAAAAAAGCCCCCGATATGAACTCTGAGAAAATGAAAAATATTTTGTATGTTTCACAAAATGAAAACCTTTCCTCAGGGAAAATTGAAAGAAAAAATTTTATCATATTTGTTGCGCAAGTGTATTCTTTCCTCCAGAAAAAAAACAAAACACCCTCCCCCCAAAAAAAACAAAAAACAAAAAAAAGACATCCTAACATATTGGATATAAAACGAATATGCAATTTCATACTGCTTTAGGAAACTGCAAGCAAATTTATTACTCAAGTAAATAAACGTATATCTATATTTCCATTAATTGGATTATATTTTTAAATGTTTGCATATCAGGTGGATGTTGACTTAAAGCTCCATTCGAATCTTCTAACACCAGCAGCAACATTGTAACAATTATTAATAATTTTACGTCATTTCTCTTTCGTTATTTCAGATAGAGTTTCAATCATTCGCTTTCATTTCATATTGTTAGGAATTATTCTCCTCTGCACAATATCACATCTCATACAACTGACATAGAGGCGGCTTATGAATTAGCTTTTCCACTGTTTAATTCTTACATCAATGTCATGTCATTGCATTTAGCGCCATGCAGGGTGCTTACACCTCAGCTAGATGCTATAAGGACCAGCAAGCTAAAACTACAGTCAAAAATTCAAGAATGCAACTATAAAGTCCGGTATAACACTTGAAAACGACTTCTCGATCTTCAAAACGCCATCTCTTGCAGCCATGTTGCATTGTACGATAACGATTGAAATCTGAAGCGTCCTTAATTATTTCTCATAACTTTGATCAGATTCCAAGGAATTTAAAATAAATCTCATCAGATGATTTTTTAAAACATTTCTTTCAGTGTTATATGTTTAAAGTACTTTTCTTTTACGTCCAGCTTTTTTCCTTCAAGCAACACACACGTTATTGGGATTTACTAAACTTAACTCTCTTTGGCAAAAGGCTATCCAAGCGACTATGTTTTTCAAATATCAATTTAAATGATTTGAAAACAGAAATATGTTCTTTTACTGTATTTCCATAATTACAAAATATGCAGAAAAATATCAGTCAAAATATGTAGCTTAAATCTGATTTGAACTTGATTTGATATTGTTTCCAACTGAGGTCTGGAGTGGACTTAAGTCCCGATAGATGTTCAACTAATGGTTCCTAGTTGAAAGTGTAACCATTCAACTTGGAAATGGAATATTTTTGCTGGACACAGCTGAACGAGCTTTTTTTTTTTTTTTTGCTTGTTTTAAAGATTTTCATACTAATTGAATAGCCTACAAACATTACGCGGTAATTATACATTTGAAACGTCATACCTGTTTAAAACCAGATCACATTTAACCAGCGTATTGATTGGGGTTAAAAGACAGTAATCTGTTCGTCTCCTCTACTGTGGTCCTGTACTGAACACCCGCTGCATATTTCTGCTGGCAGGATTTTAAAATTGGGCGGATCGAAGTTACTTGACGCCTGCGTGACAGTAATTGCAAGGGGTGAGCAAAATAATATTCCGGATTATCAAATTACTCTATATGAACTAATTTTCCATATTGCATGTTTTAACCAGTTAATTGTAATATTAAATTTTTCTTTTATATAAAATTAACTTTATTTTTAAGGATTTTAAGATTCTTCAAACAGTTAGTCTACGCTTATCGCCACATAATTTTGAAACCCCTTTTCCCGTACGATCACCGAAGATAAGCAACGTTGAGCCTGGTCAATACCTAGATGGGTGACCGCTTGGCAATACAAGAGGCTCTAAGCTCGGAGATACGAGCAGTGTAATGAATAATGGCAAGTGTTAATCGGAGAGCCGTGTTCAAATTCCGAGTTCGTAATATCACTTAACCGCAAATACCTTGGGAGAGGTATGCATCTACTTCTCTCCCCAACTAGTCTTACTAACTAACCTATAGTTAGTAAGACTGTGTGTGAGAATTAGTCGGAAGTTCACACACACACACACACACACACACACACACACACACACAAAATAACATCGATTCCACAAATGCTGATCATCACCTTTCCTCATTTAAGCAACTCCTCTCGCTAAAAAAGAGGCTCCCTCTTTGAATGAGCGTACCGTGCTTTATGTATCTGACCAGCCATCAACCAGTCAATAAAAATGGCTACAAACAACATCACCACCTCCGTCCATATGAAATTCTGCCCGATTCACATTCAATCGGAAGCTCGCCAATTCGCCGTCTCCACACCCCATTGCAAAACATACGAGACTCTGGACCTTTTGGCTCACCGAGTTAAGTCTCCGCTACAGACATGAATCACTAAATCAGTATTATCTAAAATGAATAAAAATTCTGTACAAAATATTTAAATTTCGGCATTACATACACCATAGGTATTGATATACAGTTAAACAAAAACAGCCAACCAACCAAACAAAGAGTCTAAACGTATCAAGGAATAAATCTCTGTACTGCTCCATATATAAGTTTTTTTTTATTCAATAATCTTTTATAGATAAATTTTATAAATTTGAATCCAAAGTCATTGGTAAGATAAAGTCTATTTCAGATAAATGCATAATTTCTCTTCTAAAAAAATATAGCGCCTATTTTCTTTACGTTAGAAGTATAGATTTGAAATAGACTCTAGAAGGAACCGGAAACGCAATCCGAAACAAGAAACAATGGGTAAACTTGTAGTAACATATTTTTAATATATATGTCGTAATCCGTTTGACATTCCTCGTTGTCACGTCTTTATGTTTGAGCCTAGCAGCTGGTTCCTTCCAACGTATTTCCTCGCCGTCCGTAATCCTTCAATATTTATTTTGCATAAAAATACAAAAAAAGAGGCATAAGACCAAAAAGGGTATGGGGAAAGACTGGTCTTTTTCTGTCTTATAGTTAAACTTAGCTAGCCAGTTATAAATCCAAATATACCACACTATTCTAAACATAAAACAACACATTCTTATATACCGTTCATACTACATCCACTCTAATGCCTCATGAACTCTATGAAGTCTTAACTAGCCCCATAACTAAATAAAATAATGTCAGTAATACCTGCCACAATCCTTAGTTGTGGTAGAAACAGAAGTTAATTGGACGGAATTAATGCGAGACTTTATTAAACAAAACACTCATTTGTCCTAACACTCACTCAAACATGCGCGCTTTCATACAAAACAGCAAATACGAAAATCGCACACGGAGTACGAAAGGCGTTACGCTTTCACCAGGGAACTGATATCTCTGGTGAGATGGGGAAATTAAACAAAAGAAAGTCGTTAGGGGGGAGGCAGAAATAAAAGAGCCAATTAGCTTACATCTTTGAAAGAAAAACTAACGAAAAAAGAACTTAAACTAATCTATTTTTTAATTGTATTTCGAATCTTCAATGCAGATAGAGCAATATCGTAATGCCTAACCGGCGTCAATGTGCCACTCTAAATCGGCCTGTCTTACTCAACAGATACGCACAAGACTTGCACATACTTTGCCAAATTCAGATGCGGAGATCCCCTGCATTTCCATACTAATAGTGACTTTAAGCTGATGCTTAAAGAATAAGATCAGTCTGGAAGAGGTTAACTTTTCGTCTCCATGGAATTCCTTTTGACGTGTCGTTCATATCACGACTCTCGTAACCCCTAGTAAGCAAATGAACACATAACGTTCTGCCTTCGTCAACGACGGTACCATATTGCAACAGACAAAACTGACCTCAAGGACGAAAAACTTTCCCTGCAGCATAAGAACCATGATCACTTCAATGGACTTGCACAGCAGACTACGACTCTAGAGCGAAAGAAGCATTTCAACCTTGGCACTTAGGGCCATATAGAGCAAGCTTCCTGCTTCGTAAGACCTAGCTCGCCTATCAAATCATTCTGAACAGATACCTCAATAACAAGGGATAGAATGCCTTCCGAGTCAACGCCTGGACGTCGGACAAGCCATATGTAACCCGTAAGAGGCCCTTGAGAGCAATCCGATATTCACTGTAGATGGAGCACTCTTCTCTTGCTGATGCATTCGATATAGGAACATGATGTGAAGCGTATATTGATTAATCTCAACCTTGGACATTCCCAGACCGCCTTCAGAAGGGTAGAGGCAACAGATCTTCCGAACTACATTAGGGGGCTTTGCCTCTCCACAAGAAGCAGAACGGTAGCCTTAATAATGTCATTAGTATGGAACACGAAAGTTGAAGTATAGAGAGTCCGTAAAGGAGAATTGGTTAGATGTGCGACGCACAGACTTCGGCCCTCTCCTCTAAGGAATGATTCCTCCGGGACCACAGACGAACTGCGAGCTCGGCCTTCTCTCGTACCTCCGACGAATTCATTTGCAAGGGGAGATAGGGGAAGAACCAGACAACGAATATCTTGACCAGCCCGTCCGTCCAGAGGAAATGTCCGGGAAGAGAAACTCCCTTCTCCGCATCCAATCACAAGTCAATAGACTTATCGAGGTTGATCTTGGACCCTGTCTTTTTCTCCTAACCACTGATCTCTTTGCCGAAATACAAGAAACAGAAGGTCGACTCCATAGGCGGAGTACCTGGCCGAGTTGGTTGTACCAGGTTGGGAAATTCCTCGTAGGACCGGTCTTTAACTTGCGAAGGAAAAACTCAAACGCAAGAACGTACAGCAAAGGCAAAAGCGGACAACATTGACGAATGGAGCGAGACAATACGAAAGGCTCTGATCGAACTCATTCACTTCCATCAGCGCACCGAGGGACGCATACAGAAGACGGATTTAGGTGCGAAAGTACGGCCCGAAACCAGCGGTGGAAAGTACAGCCTCCAGAAATCGATGATCAACCGTATCAAATGCCTTGAATTAATTTAAATTAATCATCGGAACTTCATTTTCTTACTCGATGATCAAGCGTATCAAAATGAAGGTTGCCTTGAATAATCCTGGCCTTCACAGAGCAAGTCTTTTCGGAAACAATCAGAATAAGCAGGACAGTCTGCAAAAGGGTTGATTAGATCTTGGCAAAAATCTCACACTGTAGTTAACATCGTCGAAGACCGAAATTTAGCTACTCAGCCCTCACTGTTTTTGTTCTTGGGTAGCAACTTGATCACACCCTTGGTGAAGCATTGAGGTATAGGCCCCTGCTTCATCCAGTTGTTGTAAATCAGTTCCAGCAAAGGAATAAGAATGGGTGACTGCTTCAAGTACAATTTGTAAGGAAGAAAATCTAATCCCGGAGTTTTGTCACGGCCAACCAGCTTCAAATAGGTATTGAACTGATCAGTTCTCAAACCAGGCTCTCTGTTAAACAGATCCTGAATGTAGTCACTGAAAGCCTCACCTATGCCCACGTTTGTTGTCACGGTCCGTCTATCCGACGATTTGACGCCCGCAATAAATCTATTGGACGCATTACTATCTTCCTCTACACGCAATGATGCGTCATATTCGTCGCCACGGGTGACATTCTTTTTAATCTAGACCTAACTACCAGTGCTTGATCATTCTTATTAAGCAAGTAGACCAGCTCTACCCTAGCTAAGGCTACTTCCATACTATCACGGGATTTAATCTTCTTCTCATATACTATTTATGCAGCTAATCTAACTAGACTGAGTCGACGGTTATAATCAGCGACAAACGACCTAATTTGGGATTTTAATTTATCTCACAAAACAAAGCCTCTGTCAATTCCCGTTATAGCATTAGTAGCAGATGGTTCTGAAAAGCTTGCCCACTAAACAATGATTCGTTCAATTTACAGTATCTAAGTATATGCAAACCCAGATGAGCCTATAATCCGTGTAAATTATAGAATGAAAATGTTGACAACCTAAGAGGCCTACATTGACTATCTTAACTAAGATTCGATCGATGCAACTAGAACGCCCGACCAAAGCCGGGCTCCATCTCTTCGTCCAAATCCACACTACCTCTCTGGGATTCTCATTACGATACTTATCGCAAGATCAAACCTATCGTTCATGTCCCGAAATCATTTCACAATAGGGTTGTTAGTACCCCATCTTGTCACTATACGATCTATGTCGGGGTCAAAATCGCCATTCCAGTCGCCCGGTAAAACGACCTGATGAGATGTAATAAAAAATGATCCGCTTAAACAAACTACGGCGCTCGTAGGTTCATTAGGCTCATAAACCCCAATGACACGATGAAATGTATCATTTATGGTAATATCCAGGACGCTTATCCTGCGAAGACAAGCACATACGCTGCATCCAAAGACTTGCACACCAGTCAGTAAACATATCTCGAGCGTCCATCAAACATACTCAATAGAGGAGAAACCTCTTAGACTGAATATATTCATGCTCGCTAGTTGCCAACCTGGTTTACACAGAATACATTCACCCCGAGATGCTGAAGATCGTAGAAGAGCATCGCACTTAGGCCCTGCGCATTCACACTAGCTAACCATATAGACATTATCAGTCAACTTAGAGTTGCTTCTCTGTATTGAACATAGCCGGGGTAAGGACACCAACAGCCTGTCCCAATGAGCCTTGAAAAATCTGTTTTAATAGTGTCGTCAAGCGACAAACCTAGAATGTCACTGGGGAACGTTAGTTGAAAGCTCTATCAAGGGAGCGTGTGAACATAAACAGAGAGCCTCTATGTAAAAATCTTTTTCAATTTGGTCATGTCCCTGGGGAACCATAATTTGAGGGCAGTATTGGTCTTCTCAATCATGCCACATATCTGTCATGGGCCCTGACCTGATCGCACAAATGTAAGCATCACCTCACCTTGAGAAAAGTTCTTCGGTAC